GGGGGGGGTTCCCCCTCTCCCTGACCTGAGAACCCCCACGCCTTTCTCTACATAGGCTGTCAACGAGGTGGCTTTGGGCTTCCCCAACGTTGTGGTCTTGCCTCTAGGTAGGTGCCAGGATGGAAGGGGGCAAAGCATCTCAGGATTTCATGGCACCCGTGGGTGGTTCCAGGGAATGTCACCCGGGTGTGTGGGTCCCCACCCTGATCACTGCCGGGACCAGCAGGATGCTTGGGAGCTGCCTCCCACAGCATCTCGCCAGTGTGATGTCCCCCCACCCCCAAGGTGGTCCCAAGGTCCTTCTCATGCCCTTGCAGATGTGACTGATCCCAACAGCATCAGGGAGGCGGTCGGGCAGGTTCGGGCCAGGGTGGGGAGCTCTGGCCTCAACCTCCTGATCAACACCGGGGGGGCCCCGCGCCGCAGCACGCTGGCCACCGAGACGCCCGAGAACATGGCCCTGCTCTACACCACCAACACCATCGGGCCCCTGCAGACCAGCCAGGTGAGGCTGGGGGCAGCCCGTGCCCCGGGAGGATGAGGATGGTGATGGGTGAGCTCCTGTTCTGCCCCCCACAGGCGTTCCTGCCCCTGCTGAAGGAGGCGGCCATGGCCGAAGGGCAGGGTGAGATGAGCTGCAGCAGAGCTGCCATCGTCAACATCTCTAGCATCCTGGGCTCCATCCAGGCGGCCGAGGCCTGGGAGGAGAGGCAGGACGTCTGCTACCGCTGCAGCAAGGTGTGCTGCCAGGAGAATGGGGGGGCACCTACCTGTGGGACCCCCACTCCAGCCCCAGCCGTGGTAGTGACGCCTCGTGCTGGGGGTGGGGGTGCCCCCCAGGCTGCGCTGAACATGCTCACCAAGTGCCTGGCCCTGGAGTACGGGGGCAGCGGGATCCTCTGCGTGGCCGTGGACCCCGGCTGTGTGACACCGCCCCTGGCACGGGGCACGGTGAGTGAGGGGAGGGGGTGCATGGCCAGCCTGGCTCAGCAAAAGCCCACGGGCATCCTTTACTAGGGCATTCCTTCCCACGGGCATCCCTTCTGGGGGCATTCCTTCCCATGGGCATCCTGTCCTGCATATTCCTTCCCAGCAACATCCCATGCCTTCATGGGACACTCCTTCCCAGAGGCAACCCATCCTTCCAAGGGACATCCCTTCCCAGGATCATCACTTTCCAGGATCATCCCTTTCCCAAGACATCCCTTTTCCAGGATCATCCCAGGGACATCCCTCTCCTGAGGCACCCCTCTCCTGAGACACCCCTTCCCATGGACATCCCTTTCCCAGGAATATTACTTCCCAGGGGCACCCCTTTCTATGGGCATCCTTTTCCAAGGGACATCCCTTTTCCAAAACATCCCTTTCCCAGGATCATCCCTACCCATGGACACCCCTTCCCTGGACCCCACTCCGCGTGTGCCCCCAGCCCTGCGCAGCCCCAGCACGTGTGCCCTCACAGCAAAGACAAATTCCAGGCTCTTTCGAAAACGACCCAGTTTCCTCCCAGTTTTTTATTCCATTTCCCATCCCAGGCGTGTGTCAGCAGAGGGCACCCCGGCCCCATGCTCGGCTCCAGGATGGAAAAACCCACGGGTGGTGTCTCCTCAGCACCCCAGGGCCACAACCACTCCAAATTCCACTTCTCCTCTGACCGAGCTGGGCTTCCCCCCGTGCTAGACACACATTTAGTATTTTTTTCTTTTCTTTTCTTTTCTTTTCTTTTCTTTTCTTTTCATTAAGACCCATAAAATTAACCTCCATCCACACAGCACTCAAATTAGGGACAATTCATTCACCTAAAGCTGCAGCCCTTGGAAGCTGGAGCATCTCCAGCCTCTCCCACTCTGTCCAGCTGGAGCTGGCAGCTCACTTTGCCCAAGGCTGGAATTTGGGGGTGCTGGGGAGGGGACGGTGGCTCATTTCCCCCCCCCATGCCCTTGAGTGTTGCAGGGTCCGGTGACGATGGAGGAGAGCGTGCAGGGTGTCCTGCGGCTGCTGGCCCAGCTCTCGGCCACCAGCAACGGCACCTTCTGGGACTGGAGAGGGCAGAGCCTGCCCTGGTGAGGGCCCTGCCCAAGTAAAGTGACTGAAGTGCCCTGGCCAGGCTCCAGCTGCATCTGTGGGGTTGGGACAGGGGTGCAGAGGGAAGGGTGCTTCAAGCATGGTCCTTGCATCCCCACGGCAGGATGTGCCCCAGGCCTGGGCATCATCACACTGCCCAAGGGGCTGGGCCGGATACAGCCCCACTCTGTGGCCATCAGCCTCACTGGTTGGTGGCCTGGGGGGCACAGCACAGACACAAAATCCACACCTGGCTGAGGAACAGGCTGAGAGGGTTGGGCTTGGGCAGACTGCAGAGGACAGGGCTCCAGAGAGACCTTCTAGGATGTGCCCCAGGCCTGGGCATCATCACACTGCCCAAGGGGCTGGGCCGGATACAGCCCCACTCTGTGGCCATCAGCCTCACTGGTTGGTGGCCTGGGGGGCACAGCACAGACACAAAATCCACACCTGGCTGAGGAACAGGCTGAGAGGGTTGGGCTTGGGCAGACTGCAGAGGACAGGGCTCCAGAGAGACCTTCTTGGTGGCCTTCCAGTGCGTCAAGGGGCCTGTCAGAAAGCTGGGGACAGACTTTTGAGCAGAGCCTGTTGGGACAGGATAAGGGGGGATGGCTTGAAACTAAAAGAGGGAGAACTAGGCTAGAGAGAAGGAAGAAATGTTTGGCACTGAGGGTGGTGAACCCCTGGCCGAGGTTGCCCAGAGGGGTGGTCGCTGCCCCATCCCTGGAACCATTCCAGGTGAGGTTGGCCGGGGTTGCTCTAGCTGGGGATGAACCCGCTCCCTGCAGGGGGGCTGGACTAGACGACCTTTGAAAGTCCCTCACCACCCAAACCACTCCAGGATTCTCTGTCACAAGCTATTGCAAGCAGGCTCCACTCCCCCATCTTACGAGTACATTTCCATGGTGGACCTCAGCTGACATTTTTTAAGCCATCCCTCGAAAGAGGGACTGGAAAGAAAAA